TTAGGGACCTTAGTTACTGTGATTTATCCAGAACTGCATGAAGTCCTAGGAACTGTTTTCCTCTGAACTATTCATAGGAAGAAGTAGAACTCAGATATTCCATGGAATGCAAAAGGAAAAAGCTGAAATGAATTGCTGGTTTGCTGTAACTTCAAGGGCAGGTGTCTCTCCTCAGAGCCGTCTATGAGTCCCTTTACAAGGGACTCAAATAACTGCTCCCTTCATGCTCTAAGGCTTTTAGCTGCATTCAGAAGAGAAATGATGTTGCATATTTTCTACATTCCACATGGAACCTGAATCTTATAGCTGTACTTTTTATTTGAAATTTAAATCAGTTTTAATCCAAAGGAATAAAAAAAGAGAATTAAACAATGGTCTTAGACATTTTAAAGAGAGAGGGAGATACATTATCATAAAGGTGTTGTGACATTGTGTCAGGTTTGGGGATAGTGGTTTATCTTGCCTGTGGAAGTGGTGACATGGAAGAAAATTCTGGAAAGTTCGAATGACCATATCTGTAAACTAGCACTTGAATGTAAGGAGCAGGAACCAGATTTGCAAAGAGGACTCTCCCTCCTCTTAGGCAGGGGAGGCATAAGAGAGGTCTGGGGGAGACAGTCTCAGGGTTGGGTGTCAGATGCAAGAGATCTTGAGTTGTCTCCATCATGGCATGGACTGTGCTCCTCCTCACCCTCCTCACTCAAGCCACAGGTGAGGTCTCCAGGGAAGGGACGCTGAAGACATCACGGCTGACCCTTTATCTCTTGCTGAGGCTCACCTGGACACAGACAGAAATCACCTGAGTGTGTTTTTCCTCTTTTCAGGTTCCTGGGCCCAGTCTGCTCTGACTCAGCCTTCCTCAGTGTCTGGGGCTCTGGGACAGTCAGTCACCATCTCCTGTGCTGGGACCAGCAATGACATTGGGGGTTATAATCATGTGTCCTGGTACCAACAGCTCCCTGGCAAGACACCCAAGCTCCTGATTTATGATGTCAGTTCCCGGCCTCAGGGATCCCTGATCACTTCTCTGGCTCCAAGTCAGGCAACACGGCCACCTTGACCATCTCTGGTCTCAAGCCTGAGGATGAGGCTGAGTATTACTGTAGCTCATACAGGAGTGGTGGTACTTACCACAGTGGTGTAAGTTCACAGGGAAGTGAGACAAGAACCTGCCCTGTGCTCACAGCCTCCCTGTTGCACTGAAGATGCAACCACAAGCCCTACCCTGTGCAGATGGAGTTTCATGCACGTGGCTTTGAGAATTCTGTTGTCTCTTAGCTCCTCTCCTCTCCACAGTGACATTTAATGGTATGTTGGTTTGGAAGAAACTGCATCAAAATTTATTTTGATCTGAAGGTCCACTATTCAAAAACAAATGTGAAAATTACTCTCGAATATACCTGGATGTGGTTTGGGGTCCTTCGGTCCCCAAACTGAGCTTGCTACCTGATTCATCCAACATCAAACATCACTGAGTGGGATGTTAGGGCACATTACTGAGTTTCAACAGACCAGACATACAACGTTTTAGGAAAACAAGAATTTCATCCAGAACAAAAGCTTGTGCAAAGGCACTGTGGTCGAGACAATATGAACAATTTACGGAACAGAGTGACTGGGGAATGGTCTCCTGGCACTGTGAGGAGGTAGACTGGAGAGTTGTGGGCCACAGACAGATCACATGATGACTGAAAGGTCTAGTTAAGGAGGTAAGATGAATGACAATAAGTTACTTACATGAAAAGAAAGTTAATTTGAATGAGGATGCTCCATAAGGTATTTGATACTTTAAAAACTCTCAGAATATTTTGTGGTACAAGCTGCTTGAATGAAATGGATGCACACAGAGTGCTTAGGCGCTGTGGTTCTTGTCTGGGCAGAACATCACGGGTCCTGCATCAGTAGAGCCATGGAGAAGGGCGAGGTGGTTCTGCAATTGAGCTGACTGATTATTTGTTGGACTAGTGGGAAGCAGGGAAAGAAGATTTAGTGAGGATTCGTGAAATTTGACTTGGTAATTAACAGGGTTGGTGCTGATGTCAGATAGAGACAGATGGGATAGCAGTGATGGGATAGCAGTGATGAGAGAAGATGTATTATTTGCAATCATAGGTCTTTTGTTTTGAACAGCCAAGAAATGCAACACAACAACATCTGTAATATTTATGTGCAAAATGCAATTCAAAGGCTTGCATATAGATTATGTCCCTACTTGTAGAATCACATATCTTTATTTAGTTTCTCATCAATTGACTCATCATTCATTATTTCAAATAATAGTAACCCAAATCTACCAAATGCCAGCTATTTTGTTAGGACTGAATAGAGAACAATGAACATCATTGCCAAGTTTTCCATCCATGATGGAAACCTGACAGACATATAAACCATGTGTTTATTTGGTGAGAATTTGGGAGATTTTCCCTGCAAATTTTTGCATGTTTTTGAGTTTTCCTCCAAGCTGGGGTTTTATTCTTAAGGGACAACAGGTAGACACATTCAATGTGAAAAAGCAGGAGTCAACCTGAGTTGATGATGGTGAGAGAGCTTTATAATCTTCCCCGAGGGGAAAAAAGGGGGGATATATTTAGCATCGTAATGTGTATGAAGCAGAGGAAATGTCCTGCCCTTCATTTTTTTTTTTTTTCATGATAATTTGTGTCTCCTCCCCTTTTCTCACGGTCACTCTGACTAGGGTTTTCACAATTTTAGGGATATGTTCAAGGAAGCAGCTTCAGACTTTTCTGACTTTACTTGTTTTCTGGTTCTATTCCATGGGTGAGTGCTCTTGTTTGTATTATTTCCTTCCTTCTGTTTACTTTGCACTTATCTCTGTCATTTGCTTACTGTGTTTTTGGTATGGAACACTCAGGGCAATAAATTTCCCTGTCAGCACTGATTTTACAGAACCTCATGTATTTTAATATGTGTGTTTGCACTTTTCGTTATTAAAAGCAATTTCTGATGCCTCCTATCCATCCTCTTTGAATCACAAAATATTTAAATGTACTTCAGTTAATTCCTAACTTGAACTGTTGTCTTAGACCTGTTATATCAATGGATGCAAACTGCGCTTAAAATGTCAGAAATGCGTGGTCTCCCAATTCTGCAGGTTAAGAAATCAAATATCAAACTATTAGTGCTGTTCCACTCTCTCTGTTAAAAAGGGGAAGTATCCTTGCTTCTTCCTAGTAAGGTGATTGTCAGGAAGCCTTTAAAGGTTTCTTGACTTTTAACTGTCACTGTTCAATCTCAGCCTTGCACTCCCTGTAGCATTCTGTCTCTGCTTATTTGTTGACCTTCTCTTCTTCTTAGGACACTGGTCTTATTGGATTAGGGTCCACCCTTATGAAATGTCACTCTATCTTAATTTGATTACACTGCAGACACTTTTCCAAGCAAGGTCTCATTTCCTGAATGGAGGGTTAGAATTAAGTCTTTTTGGCTTTTTTTTCCTTTTTTTTTGAGATGCACTTCAACTGAAAACACAAGGAATTTGGAAAATTCCAGGTATTTTTTCTATGTCTTCCAGCTGAATTCCATAATGTTCTGAGAGTATAGTTTGTAAGACTATGATCTTTATAAAATTTTTACATTAACTTTGTTATTCAGGATTTATCCTAATTTGGTGACTATTCCTTATGAGCAATAAGATCATGTATTATGCTGTGAGTTTTAATGGAATTTTCTGTAAATGTTAATTTGGTTCGCTTGGGTCATGGTGGTGTTCAATACTTTCCATTAATATAAATCTGTATAATTGTGCTATCAGTGACTGAGAGCAGAATGAAGATCTCACATACTTGCAGATTTGACCATCTCTCGTTTCAGTCTATCAGTTTTATTTATTTATAACTTGAAGTTGTCTTCTAGGTGTATATGTGATCACCATCAAATGTCTTTCTTTTACCATAGTAATTTTACAACCGAGTAGCTTAACACTTAAAATTTTATTGCATACAGTGTGCTTCTTTTGGTTAGGAGTTTTATGATATTATTGTCCATTTCAAAGAAATTTTCTTGTGCTCTTTGTTAAGGTGGGCTAATTGCAGGACTCATATAATTTGTCTTCTTTTCTGATTTGTCTTTAGTTGCTAGGAAAGCTAAAGGAAAAGTGAGAGTGCTTTGGAGGGCCCAGGAGGCCTGAGGACTGTTACACCTGGGAGGGAAGAACAGGGAGCTGGAGAGAGGACAGGGCAGGGATTTCAGCTACTACTGCGCTCCATCCACGGGACTTGGGCTGCACCATCAGTGGCCACCAGAGGGCAGCAAGGGCCTGGGTTTGGGGACCATCATTGCTGTGGTTTATCCTGAACTGGATGAAATGCCAAGAGCTGCTTCTCTTTGAGTCCTTTCTAGGAAGAAACGGGACTGGCATATCCCCAATCTACTGTGATGTGTTGAGTAAGACCACGGGAGACAGAAGGAAACTGGAGAAACTCACTGTTGTTTTGCTATTACAAGAAACTCACTGTTGTTTTTGCTATTATCAAAGGCAGGTGCCTCTCCCAAGAGCCAACTATGATTTCCTTTTCTAGGGACTCAAATAACTGCTCCCTGCATGTTCTAAAGCTTGTAGCTACATTCAGAAGAGAAATGGTGTTGCATGCTCTCTACATTTCAAATAGAATTTGAACTTTATAATAGCATTTTCCATTTGAACTTTCAATCAGTTTTAACCCAAGGGAATAGAAAAAAGAGAGAAAGAATAGTTTTACAAGTTTTAAAGAGAGAGGGAGATATATTTTCCAAAAGATTCTCTGACTTAAGTGTCCAGGTTTGGGGAGGTTGTTTACCTTACCTGTGGATATGGTGACATGGAAGAAAACTCTGGAAAGTTGTAAATGTATCTGTGCCTAGGACTTGAAAGGGGAAGGCAGGAAACAGATTTGCACAGAGGCCCCTCCCACATCTTAGGCAGGGGAAGAGGATAAGAGACATCTGTGGAGCCAGGCCCAGGGTTGGGGCATCAGAAGACAGAGACCTTGGCTTTTTCCACCATGCCTTGGGCTGTTCTCCTCCTCGCTCTCTTCACTCAGGCCAAGGGTGAGGCCTCCAGGGAAGGGAAAATGAACATATCATGGCTGACCCTTTATCTCTTGCTGAGGCTCACCTGGACCCAGACAGAAATCACCCGAGTGTGTTTTTCTTCTTTTCAGGCGCCTGGGCCCAGTCTGCTCTGACTCAGCCTTCCTCAGTGCCTGGGGCTCTGGGACAGTCAGTCACCATCTCCTGTGCTGGGACCAGAAATGACATTGGGCGTTATAATCGTGTGTCCTGGCTCCAGCAGCTCCCTGGCAAGACACCTAAGCTCCTGATTTATGATGTCAGTTCCAGGCCCTCAGGGATCCCTGATCGTTTCTTTGGCTCCAAGTCAGGCAACACGGCCACCTTGACCATCTCTGGTCTCAAGCCTGAGGATGAGGCTGAGTATCACCTTTGTTCAGTTAAAACTGGTGGTGCTTACCACAGTGGTGTAAGTTCATAGGGAAGTGAGACAAGAATCTGCCCTGTGCTCACAGCCTCCCTGTTGCACTGAAGATGCAACCACAAGCCCTACCCTGTGCAGATGGAGTTTCATGCACGTGGCTTTGAGAATTCTGTTGTCTCTTAGCTCCTCTCCTCTCCACAGTGACATTTAATGGTATGTTGGTTTGGAAGAAACTGCATTAAAATTTATTTTGATCTGAAGGTCCACTATTCAAAAACAAATGTGAAAATTACTCTCGAATATACCTGGATGTGGTTTGGGGTCCTTCGGTCCCCAAACTGAGCTTGCTACCTGATTCATCCAACATCAAACATCACTGAGTGGGATGTTAGGGCACATTACTGAGTCTTCAACAGACCAGACATACAACGTTTTAAGAAAACAAGAATTTCATCCAGAACAAAAGCTTGTGCAAAGGCACTGTGGTCGAGAAAATACGAACAATTTACGGAACAGAGTGACTGGGGAATGGTCTCCTGGCACTGTGAGGAGGTAGACTGGAGAGTTGTGGGTCACAGACAGATCACATGATGACTGAAGGTTGCTCTGTAACAAAAGGTCTAGTTAAGGAGGTAAGATGAATGACAATAAGTTACTTACATGAAAAGAAAGTTAATTTGAGTGAGGATGCTCCATAAGGTATTTGATACTTTAAAAACTCTCAGAATATTTTGTGGTACAAGCTGCTTGAATGAAATGGATGCACACAGAGTGCTTAGGCACTGTGGTTCTTGTCTGGGCACAACATCATGGGTCCTGCATCAAGTAGAGCCATGGAGAAGGGCGAGGTGGTTCCGCAGTTGAGTTGACTGATTATTTGTTGGACTAGTGGGAAGCAGGGAAAGAAGAGTTAGTGAGGATTCATGAAATTTGACTTGGTAATGAACAGGGCTGGTGCTGATGTCAGATGGAGACAGATGGGACAGCAGTGATGTGGGGGGAGGGAAGTGTATTATTTGCAACCATAGGCCTTTCGTTTTGAACAGCCAAGAAATGCAACACAACAGCATCTGTAATATTTATGTGCAAAATGCAATTCAAAGGCTTGCATATAGATTATGTCCCTACTTGTAGAATCACATATCTTTATTTAATTTCTCATCAATTGACTCATCATTCGTTATTTCAAATAATAGTAACCCAAATCTACCAAATGCCAGCTATTCTGTTAGTTCTGAATAGAGAACAATGAACATTATTGCCAAGTTTTCCATCCATGACGGAAACCTGAAGGACATATAAACCATGTGTTCATTTGGTGAGAATTTGGGAGATTTTTCCCTGCAAATTTTTGCATGTTTTTGAGTTTTCTTCCAAGCTGGGGTTTTATTCTTAAGGGACAACAGGTAGACACATTCAATGTGAAAAAGCAGGAGTCAACCTGAGTTGATGATGGTGAGAGAGCTTTATAATCTTCCCCGAGGGGAAAAAAGAGGGGGGGGGATATATTTAGCATCGTAATGTGTATGGAGCAGAGGAAATGTCCTGCCCTTCATTTTTTTTTAATCACATGATAATTTGTGTCTCCTCCCCTTTTCTCACGGTCACTCTGACTAGGGTTTTCACAATTTTAGGGATATGTTCAAGGAAGCAGCTTCAGACTTTTCTGACTTTACTTGTTTTCTGGTTTCTATTCCATGGGTGAGTGCTCTTGTTTGTATTATTTCCTTCCTTCTGTTTAGTTTGCACTTATCTCTGTCATTTGCTTCCTGTGTTTTTGGTATGGAACACTCAGGGCAATAAATTTCCCTGTCAGCACTGATTTTACAGAACCTCATGTATTTTAATATGTGTGTTTGCACTTTTCGTTATTAAAAGCAATTTCTGATGCCTCCTATCCATCCTCTTTGAATCACAAAATATTTAAATGTACTTCAGTTAATTCCTAACTTGAACTGTTGTCTTAGACCTGTTATATCAATGGATGCAAACTGCGCTTAAAATGTCAGAAATGCGTGGTCTCCCAATTCTGCAGGTTAAGAAATCAAATATCAAACTATTAGTGCTGTTCCACTCTCTCTGTTAAAAAGGGGGAAGTATCCTTGCTTCTTCCTAGTAAGGTGATTGTCAGGAAGCCTTTAAAGGTTTCTTGACTTTTAACTGTCACTGTTCAATCTCAGCCTTGCACTCCCTGTAGCATTCTGTCTCTGCTTATTTGTTGACCTTCTCTTCTTCTTAGGACACTGGTCTTATTGGATTAGGGTCCACCCTTATGAAATGTCACTCTATCTTAATTTGATTACACTGCAGACACTTTTCCAAGCAAGGTCTCATTTCCTGAATGGAGGGTTAGAATTAAGTCTTTTCGGCTTTTTTTTTTTTTTTTTTAGATGCACTTCAACTGAAAACACAAGGAATTTGGAAAATTCCAGGTATTTTTTCTATGTCTTCCAGCTGAATTCCATAATGTTCTGAGAGTATAGTTTGTAAGACTATGATCTTTATAAAATTTTTACATTAACTTTATTATTCAGGATTTATCCTAATTTGATGACTATTCAGGATTTATCCTAATTTGGTGACTATTCCTTATGAGCAATAAGATCATGTATTATGCTGTGATTTTTAATGGAATTTTCTGTAAATGTTAATTTGGTTCCCTTGGGTCATGGTGGTGTTCAATACTTTCCATTAATATTAATCTGTATAATTGTGCTATCAGTGACTGAGAGCAGAATGAAGATCTCACATACTTGCAGATTTGACCATCTCTCGTTTCAGTCTATCAGTTTTATTTATTTATAACTTGAAGTTGTCTTCTAGGTGTATATGTGATCACCATATAATGTCTTTCTTTTACCATAGTAATTTTACAACCGAGTAGTTTGACACTTAAAATTTTATTGCATACAGTGTGCTTCTTTTGGTTAGGAGTTTTATATTATTGTCCATTTCAAAGAAATTTTCTTGTGCTCTTTGTTAAGGTGGGCTAATTGCAGGACTCATATAATTTGTCTTCTTTTCTGATTTGTCTTTAGTTGCTAGGAAAGCTAAAGGAAAAGTGAGAGTGCTTTGGAGGGCCCAGGAGGCCTGAGGACTGTTACACCAGGGAGGGAAGAACAGGGAGCTGGAGAGAGGACAGGGCAGGGATTTCCAGCTACTACTCCGCTGCATCCACGGGACTTGGGCTGCACCATCAGTGACCACCAGAGGGCAGCAAGGGCCTGGGTTTGGGGACCATCATTGCTGTGGTTTATCCTGAACTGGATGAAATGCCAAGAGCTGCTTCTATTTGAGCCCTTTCTAGGAAGAAACGGGACTGGCATATCCCCAATCTACTGTGATGTGTTGAGTAAGACCACGGGAGACAGAAGGAAACTGGAGAAACTCACTGTTGTTTTGCTATTACAAGAAACTCACTGCTATTATAAGAAACTCACTGTTGTTTTGCTGTTATCAAAGGCAGGTGCCTCTCCCAAGAGCCATCTATGATTCCCTTTTCTAGGGACTCAAATAACTGCTCCCTGCATGTTCTAAAGCTTGTAGCTACATTCAGAAGAGAAATGGTGTTGCATGCTCTCTACATTTCAAATAGAATTTGAACTTTATAATAGCATTTTCCATTTGAACTTTCAGGTTTTTTTTTAATAATAAATTTTATTTTTATATTCCCCCATACAATTGCTACCCCCCATTCTGACCCCAATCCCTCCCCTCCCACCCCCCACCCCCCAAAAAGTGTCTCTGGTTCATAGTTTTTTGTTGATTTTGATTTTCACTTTCTTATAGTTATTCATTTTCCTGGTCCCTTATTTAGGTTTTCTAGATTCCTGCTATGAGTGAGACCATCCGGTATTTTTCTTTTTCTTTCTGGCTTATTTCGCTGAGCATGATCCCTTCCAGCTCCATCCATGTTGCTGCAAATTGCATGTGATTATTTTTTTTGAATGCTGAGTAATATTCCATGGTATATATGTACCACATCTTCTTGATCCAGTCATCTACAATCAGTTTTAACCCAAGGGTATAGAAAAAAGAGAGAAAGAATAGTTTCACAAATTTTAAAGAGAGAGGGAGATATATTTTCCAAAAGATTCTCTGACTTAAGTGTCCAGGTTTGGGGAGGTTGGTTTACCTTACCTGTGGATATGGTGACATGGAAGAAAACTCTGGAAAGTTGAAAATGTATCTGTGACCTAGGACTTGAATGGAAGAGGCAGGAAACAGATTTGCACAGAGGCCCCTCCCACATCTTAGGCAGGGGAAGAGGATAAGAGACATCTGTGGAGCCAGGCCCAGGGTTGGGGCATCAGAAGACAGAGACGTTGGCTTGTCTCCACCATGGCCTGGACTGTGCTTCTCCTCACCCTCCTCACTCAGGCCACAGGTGAGGCCTCCAGGGAAGGACACTGAACACATCATGGCTGACCCTTTATCTCTTGCTGAGGCTCACCTGGACCCAGACAAAAATCACCTGAGTGTATTTTTCTTCTTTTCAGGTTCCTGGGCCCAGTCTGCTCTGACTCAGCCTTCCTCAGTGCCTGGGGCTCTGGGACAGTCAGTCACCATCTCCTGTGCTGGGACCAGCAACGACATTGGGAGATATAACTATGTGTCCTGGTACCAGCAGCTCCCTGGGAAGACACCCAAGCTCCTGATTTATGATGTCAGTTCCCGGCCCTCAGGGATCCCTGATCGCTTCTCTGGCTCCAAGTCAGGCAACACGGCCACCTTGACCATCTCTGGTCTCAAGCCTGAGGATGAGGCTGAGTATCACTGTTGTTCACCTAGCACTAGTGTTGCTTACCACAGTGGTGCAAGTTCATGGGAAGTGAGACACAAACCTGCTCTCCACTCCAGGCTTCATCCCTGCTCTGAACAGACTTCTCCATCCTGTTCTTGGAGGCTTCCTGCAGTATGGACTTCGTCATTCACATCATCCTTAATCCTCTCCTGTCCCACAGTGAAGAGCAGAAGTGAAGGGATCCTAGACCAGGCACTGGGCTTGCTGAATGTGAATCAGGAACCCAGTCTCTAGCATGAATGTTCACATTTAGGACTCCATTTGCTGCTTCCTAGCTCAGCCTGCTCTCTGGGAGATGTCTTTGAACACTTCTCTGGGAGAACAAAGATGTTTATTGGTTGATCATGACGTTGGTGCGTGGGTCATATCAAGATAACCTAACACGGTGCAGCAAGTATGAGTAAGAATTCAGGACACACTCTCACAACTTTTTCAGGTTGGTCCACTGTCCTCAGACTCCTCAAAGATGAGCCCACAGTTTCTCTTGGAGGAGCCTTAGATGGAGGATCACCGGGGGCACATGGTCTCAGGATTCAACACTTCCAAAGCACACGGGACTCTCATAACACCCAAGTATCCGGAGACGCCCTCTCCAACTCCCCTGCTCCCAGAGATGTGATTTATGCTCTGCCGGGACACATGTGGTCAGAGGAGGGGCTGGAACACGGGCTGTTACCTCAGTCCCTTCTGGGTGGTATAATGATAGGGGGGCATCCGGACATCCACCCTCTTATATAACAACTTCCACTTATTCTAAATTTCATTTCCCTCATTCCCTCATGCCCATAGTCAAATCAACAGAGGATTCTCAGTTAACACAATTCTTTGCTTGATATTTTGCCTATGAACTCAGAGTCACCGAAGCCAACAAGAAGTCTGGAAAGGGATCCGCACAACCATGAACTTGGTGAAATGGCCCCTGAAATGATTTTCTTCATGTTTCTTTTGTTTAGGGGTTAGGATTTACTAAGTGCCTGGCTCTGTGGGGTTCTCTCTGTTCCTCTGTGGTCTCTGTTTCGGCATCTCTCACTTTATGTGAATGAGGTCACTTGAAGTGGTTCCACTCAAGGTAAAGGTCACTGATCCTTTTTGATTTTTGAATTTTCTTTTTCTTCTTTTTCCCAAAGATTTATTTATTTATTTATACAAGCATCGGGTACAGTCAGAAGCGCGGGAGGGTGAGAGAATTCACCAGAGCCAGAGCGGGGAACAGAACAGGCAGACTGATGAAACACACTGCTGAGGGGAGCAGTGGGAGAGACAGGAGAGGTCTGCATGCCATGTGGGACTCTCGCCAGCGGCCAGGGATCGAACCAGCGCTGCAGAGGCTGCGGGCAGCTTAGCAGCCCAGCGCTCAACCGCTGCACCACCAGGGGAGGCCCTGAATTTTCTTTTTCTCTTTTTGCTATGACTGGAGGTCATGCTTCCTATCTCATTTTGTTATCAACAACATACAGTAGATTTATTTGAAATTCCTTGTATATTCTATTTCTAATTGAGATTTTTTTTTTCTCCATTAAGTCAAGAAGGCTTCCCTTGCTTCTGGTCTGACTTTAAATTGCTGGTGTAAAGTCCTTGGGAGAAAAATGCCAACATGTCTGTCAGTATGGGGTTATCATCTCTGTCTCTTCCACATCCCTTTGGATTTTCCTGGCTCTTTTTCTATTTTAGGGTAAGTGAAAAGTCAGGCTTTTATGCCATTGGCTTCTGTGGCTATCAGTGGTGGCCATGAGTGCAGAAGGTGCTTGGGAGCTTGGGCACGGGGCACGCATTCCTGGTGGTGGACACCTGGAGTAAGGTGTGAGCATGTGTAAGTGGGCCCACCTGAGCCTGGAGGCTGAGGCTATCAGAGCAACATCACAGAGACGGCTATGGTGAGTGGCTACAATGGTATGAGCTGCATGCTACAGGACCACAAAAGGACCCAGAGAAAAAGAAGCGTAAAGATCCCGGCGGCTGGGAGGCCTGAGCTTCCTTGACAACCCTGACCCACACACACACACCACTGCAGTCTGAGGGCTTGCCCCAGTGGGGTAAAAAGAGCATTAAGGCCTGAAAAATCCACAAGGGCTCCAGGACTCTCCTTTATCCATTGCCCGAATCCCTCTGTGCATTGCTGGCAGAAAAAGAAAATGCGTTAAAGACCAGTCGATCGTTAGCAGGCTGGGAGGCCTGTCCAGCTTCCTTGACAACCCTCCAAATGCCTATGGTACCACAATTTGCATTCACACATACCTTGAAGGGTTGCTGCTCACTGTTTGGGGCTGTCCCTTGACTGTGGTGCCCTTCTTGCCCCACAGGGACATGCGATGGTAAAAAGAAGCAATGGCTCACACGTTCATTTCATCCCCAAGGCATAGGCTCTTGTGAGACTACTGAGGATGAAAAGGAAAAGGCACTGTGGGTTCCAGTCTTTCTGTGAACACTAGGAATCACGCGCCTACCATGCAGAATGAGGGGGTATTGCTGGAGCTCTTCCTGTCTCTGTGGTGTCCCTTGCTGGCCCCTCGCTGATTTGAATCCCGGTGTGAAGGAGAAAAAGGAAACTCAGAATGTTCCCTCGCAGTTGAACATACTGGATGCCTCCCTGCTCCAGTAAGCATTAGAACAAAGCCATTGGCCGAGGCTTGAGTGTGAAACAGCCTGCAAAATCTGCTGCCTGGGGTCAAGCCAGTGTTTTCAGGCCTGTTTAATGACTAAGAAGCCTGGTAAAGAAATATAAGTAATGGGCTCCAGCCTTTGCCTCTGCCCAGTGCCTTCTTCAGAGAGGAAGAGCTTAGTCCCTGCGCTGCCTTCCTCTGAGCGTAGACAACATATGAACCACTTAGCTATAGCCACCTCCCTGTCCACAATAATTACATTTTGAATGGCAGGGACTCATTATTCCAGCCTATAGATATTGAATTCAAACTGGTTTTTGTTGGAATAGGTGTCACACTGCAAAATCTTTTGACTTCTTCCTTCGTTTGATCCTCACTTGTCCAACTGTTGTTGAGATCGTATTTGGGGTGACACCAGCGATTTCCCAATGTGCCTTGTACAATTCAGTCCAAAATCTGCTCCAGAATTCTGGTTCAGTTTCTCACTGTGTAAATGGGTGAAAGAGGCATGTGTGTTAACTCGCCTTAAATGGGACCTCAAATCAATAATACTAGTTTTAATTTGAAAATTAAATCAACTCAATCATGGATATTTGTAAAAAGGGAAGGTTAAAAAGTTTTACAAACTGTATAAGGAAAATAACTTGAAGAAATATATTCAGAACGAATCTGGATTTCAGTTACCAGTATTGGAAGGTCAGTTGCATCATGACCGGGGGAGAGGATGAGAAGGAGGAAACCAAAGCAATAAAAGCATGTCTAACCACACTCACAAATCATCATGAATCCTGGGATCATGTAAAGTTCAGAGCAACATTCCCTTTTGTCAAAGCTGTGCTTCTGCCACTCCTCTTGCCACAGCCATGTGCCACGGGGTGTACCTGTCATTCTTCACTTCTCAGCTGAGGATTTGAGCTGAGAAAGGGAAAGTCGCTTGTTCAGCCACGGAAAATGCAGATGAGGGAGGCTGAGTCAGGGACAGAGCCGTGGCTGCTGGCTGGTATCTTGTGGCCCCCACGTCTTCCCACATGAGCTCCTGACTCCTGGTGTGGTCTGTGGGTGAATGACCTGGAGTGACCTATTTTCTGTGGGACCCATGCTACCGATACTTCAGAAAAATGTGGGGGAGGTGAGAAGTCTGTACCTGGTAGATCCCACCAGCAGGGATTAGTAACAGCAAGTCTCTAGTAGTCGGACAGCCTCCCTTCCTAGCAGGAGAGAAACCCCGAGGAAAGGGCAGCCCACGGAGTTCCTGTGGGAAGTGGTCACACACACATGGCCTGATCCTGGCAGAGAGGCCTTGAGTGGACAGGACTCCACTAACATCAGACATCACATATGCAATCTTCTAATCCTGTGTAAATCATAGAAAAACAATTCAAATCCCACCCCTCACAATGGACATGTCAAAGAGTTTTAGTGTCTCTACTAAGCTGTGCTGTCCAGAGGTCCAGGAACCCCTGGAATCCAGGACCATTTAGAGGAACTGAGAAAAGGAAGCTATGGAAACAGATCCACATGGAAGCCACACACCCATCTATAGGGCAGCAGGACAGGATAATAGTAAAAAATTTAAAACTGTGTCTTTCTCTTATAACTCTCCTCCTTCTACCCCAGAGATCAACTTAAGCTTCTCACACCCCAGGCCAGGAAGGAAACTCTCTCATGGTGTTGGAAATGTCTGTCACAAAATATGACCAGTGACACCAAAATAGTTTCTCAGAACATTCACATGCCATTTCCTGAGAGGACATTTTTATTTGGGTCAGGATAAGTCAGCCAGGATTAAATAGTCTTTTTCACCAAACCAATCCCTGTCTACAAAACCTAGTAGGTCAAGCATCTCTCTGTAGTTGTAGAGATTTTACCACAGGGAGACACACAGCTCAGAAGGGGTTCTTTCCATGTACAAAAGGGGCAAATTGAAGAGCATGAGTGGGGCAGTGGGGCAGGCAGACTTGTCCCAAGTAGAAGTTTCCAGAACTAGAGATTTTAGAACAATCCTGACACCAGCGTACTTTCCCCAAATCCTCCAACTCCTGCTCTCATTGGTCCTTCTAGAGCCTGTTGAGCTCCATCTCCTTCAGGAAATATATCACCTTTTAACTTTTTTAGGACTCAACCTGTCTTCTCATCCTATTTTCCTCATATGATATTCCTGCTTGGTTTGATTTTATTTCTTATCCCAGGACACTTAACTCTGTAAAGTGACATACCCGGGACAGGTATTGATGGGAATGTGAGTGTTCAGGCCCCTGGTGTGAAGGAGTTTCCTTTGTTTGGGGGAAGGTTAAGGGAGAGTGGAGCAGAGTATGAAATGGACTGAAGGGGGCTGGTGTTAAGCTGGGAAGAGAAGAAAGGAAGCAGGAGCATGAGCACAGCAGAGATTTCTAGCTCCACTCACCTGTCTCCTGGGACTCATGTCTCACCATCTAAGGTCGCAGAGGCCAGTGAGAGCCTGGATCTAGAGAAGGTCATGGGTGCAGTTTACCCTGGCCTGATGAAACTCCAGTAGCTACTTGACATACGGCCCCTAAAGAGCATCAGAGACAGGATCTCAAATCTGCTGTTTCCAA